TGGTATGTACAGGGACGCCTTAATCCGCTTGACCATCACGACCGGACATAAGGAAGTGATAGCCGAGGCTATATGAACCACTTCCCCGCCGGCACTCGGATGGTAATCTTGGGCATAGCATTTTATCAAATCACCTCATTCTTTGGGGCACACGTGAGGAACACAAATGCAAACAAGCCTGAATGGTCCCCAGGACTATATACAACTGAAAACTCACACCCCAGAAGTGACTCGAACCCATACTCCCACAACTGGTATGTACAGGGACGCCTTAATCCGCTTGACCATCACGACCGGACATAAGGAAGTGATAGCCGAGGCTATATGAACCACTTCCCCGCCGGCACTCGGATGGTAATCTTGGGCATAGCATTTTATCAAATCACCTCATTCTTTGGGGCACACGTGAGGAACACAAATGCAAACAAGCCTGAATGGTCCCCAGGACTATATACAACTGAAAACTCACACCCCAGAAGTGACTCGAACCCATACTCCCACAACTGGTATGTACAGGGACGCCTTAATTAAGGCGTCCCTGTACATACCAGTTGTGGGAGTATGGGTTCGAGTCACTTCTGGGGTGTGAGTTTTCAGTTGTATATAGTCCTGGGGACCATTCAGGCTTGTTTGCATTTGTGTTCCTCACGTGTGCCCCAAAGAATGAGGTGATTTGATAAAATGCTATGCCCAAGATTACCATCCGAGTGCCGGCGGGGAAGTGGTTCATATAGCCTCGGCTATCACTTCCTTATGTCCGGTCGTGATGGTCAAGCGGATTAAGGCGTCCCTGTACATACCAGTTGTGGGAGTATGGGTTCGAGTCACTTCTGGGGTGTGAGTTTTCAGTTGTATATAGTCCTGGGGACCATTCAGGCTTGTTTGCATTTGTGTTCCTCACGTGTGCCCCAAAGAATGAGGTGATTTGATAAAATGCTATGCCCAAGATTACCATCCGAGTGCCGGCGGGGAAGTGGTTCATATAGCCTCGGCTATCACTTCCTTATGTCCGGTCGTGATGGTCAAGCGGATTAAGGCGTCCCTGTACATACCAGTTGTGGGAGTATGGGTTCGAGTCACTTCTGGGGTGTGAGTTTTCAGTTGTATATAGTCCTGGGGACCATTCAGGCTTGTTTGCATTTGTGTTCCTCACGTGTGCCCCAAAGAATGAGGTGATTTGATAAAATGCTATGCCCAAGATTACCATCCGAGTGCCGGCGGGGAAGTGGTTCATATAGCCTCGGCTATCACTTCCTTATGTCCGGTCGTGATGGTCAAGCGGATTAAGGCGTCCCTGTACATACCAGTTGTGGGAGTATGGGTTCGAGTCACTTCTGGGGTGTGAGTTTTCAGTTGTATATAGTCCTGGGGACCATTCAGGCTTGTTTGCATTTGTGTTCCTCACGTGTGCCCCAAAGAATGAGGTGATTTGATAAAATGCTATGCCCAAGATTACCATCCGAGTGCCGGCGGGGAAGTGGTTCATATAGCCTCGGCTATCACTTCCTTATGTCCGGTCGTGATGGTCAAGCGGATTAAGGCGTCCCTGTACATACCAGTTGTGGGAGTATGGGTTCGAGTCACTTCTGGGGTGTGAGTTTTCAGTTGTATATAGTCCTGGGGACCATTCAGGCTTGTTTGCATTTGTGTTCCTCACGTGTGCCCCAAAGAATGAGGTGATTTGATAAAATGCTATGCCCAAGATTACCATCCGAGTGCCGGCGGGGAAGTGGTTCATATAGCCTCGGCTATCACTTCCTTATGTCCGGTCGTGATGGTCAAGCGGATTAAGGCGTCCCTGTACATACCAGTTGTGGGAGTATGGGTTCGAGTCACTTCTGGGGTGTGAGTTTTCAGTTGTATATAGTCCTGGGGACCATTCAGGCTTGTTTGCATTTGTGTTCCTCACGTGTGCCCCAAAGAATGAGGTGATTTGATAAAATGCTATGCCCAAGATTACCATCCGAGTGCCGGCGGGGAAGTGGTTCATATAGCCTCGGCTATCACTTCCTTATGTCCGGTCGTGATGGTCAAGCGGATTAAGGCGTCCCTGTACATACCAGTTGTGGGAGTATGGGTTCGAGTCACTTCTGGGGTGTGAGTTTTCAGTTGTATATAGTCCTGGGGACCATTCAGGCTTGTTTGCATTTGTGTTCCTCACGTGTGCCCCAAAGAATGAGGTGATTTGATAAAATGCTATGCCCAAGATTACCATCCGAGTGCCGGCGGGGAAGTGGTTCATATAGCCTCGGCTATCACTTCCTTATGTCCGGTCGTGATGGTCAAGCGGATTAAGGCGTCCCTGTACATACCAGTTGTGGGAGTATGGGTTCGAGTCACTTCTGGGGTGTGAGTTTTCAGTTATATATATATATATATATATATATATATATACATATATATATATATATATATATATATATATATATATATATATATATATATATATATATATATATATAATATATATAACCTGTATTATTTAGCCATGATAGTATTATAGAAGAGCCTGAGTGGGATAATGACTGGGTACAATGTTCAAATATCAGTGATTCAATGCTGTTCACGATCACAGCGCTAGCCACAGCACCACAACATTATTTCGTCCATCTAGGAATCTTCAAACGACTTCTTAGGTTCCTTTTCAAAATAAACTTGTGGTCAATTATTCATTTACAGAAATTAGTGACCAGGATTGTGGTTATAATTAGCGTTGTGCGTAGTATTGTGGAAGGAGGAATTTTGGTGAGGAAGGGAGAGAATTGAGAATTGAGGTAGCCTCACACAGTGAGGCTACCTCAATTCGCAGCTACCAGGTGAGGTAGCTGCTATTGGCCCATACAAGGCAGCTGCTATTGGCCCATACGAGGCAGCTGCTATTGGTCCATGCGAGGCAGCTGCTATTGGCCCATGCGAGGCAGCTGATATTGGCCCATACGAGGCAGCTGATATTGGCCCATACGAGGCAGCTGATATTGGCCCATACAAGGCAGCTGATATTGGCCCATACGAGGCAGCTCCTATTGGGCCTGTGTGGGTGTGGCTGCTCACACTCGAGATGTTCTGAATGTGTTGATGGTAAATGTATATAGTGTGTGACAGTGTATAGTGTGTACATATGTTGTAAATATACATAAATTAGCATGATACATGGTAAATATGTGCAACATATGTGTACACAAGTGTCATTCACGTAACACAGTGTCCTTGGACAGTACGGATGTTTTACTGCCATAATATGGTGTACGTGTTCAGTATACACAGGATTAGTGCATAAAAACAAATAAAATGTATTTGGAACTGTGCGCAAAAAATGAACAAAAATATATTCGCGGCAACTCGCACGCCCCAGGCGCCCCACCGGCCCCGGGAGCTTACGGCACGGGCGCATGGGGAATGATGACATCACGTGCCACCTTACAGACCCCATAGCAGCCAAAGTAAGTACAATTTCGAAATTCCGTTGCTATACCCATATACAGGGTGGGTTTTTTGACACTTTCAGAACTAAAAAGAATTTTTTCCCGAGAATTTATTTCTTGCGCACTGGGGGGTGTCGTATTTATAGGCCGCGCAGTTAAACGGTTAATACTTATTATTGTTTGCCAGTAAATTATATTGAGCAATGTAACAGTATTTAATACTCTTAAGATTAATAATGATTTGAATATTAGTACTACATTTTGTTAGTAGAATTTCCACAATAGTTTATGTGGATGTTTAGTTGATGTGTGGTAGGACGCCTACCTGGCAAGCCAGGATTTGGGCAGAGGCGTGGCAGCTTTGGTTGAGAGGAGACATGTTATTTAAGTCCGTGGTTATGGTTATTTTAGCTAATACTCGGTTAATTCTCTGGTTAGATGATTGTGCATTTAGTCCATTAAGTCATTCATGTGTTGGTGATATTGCTCATTGCTCAATAAGGATTTGTATTTATATTATTGCATGCTAAAGAATATTTCTGGCTATTACCTGTACCATTTAATTGTTATGTTTGTCATCCTTAGCGTAGATATATTGTTTCCCCAAGGTATGCAGTGTTTTTTTCCTTTACCCCTAGACACCTGTTGGCAAGGCCGATTTAATATAATTAATCACTGCGGGGAAAGAACCGTACTAAGTCTCAAGGGTTGTAACATATGCCACCTACGATTTTTTTGTTTTTTCCGTGATCAGGGAACAAAAATGAACACTTCTATAAGACGAAAGAATTTTTTGGAATCTTTTTTTTTTTTGTTGCGCCTGTGGGTGTTAAATCCATTTGGACCCCTAGTGGTTTGAGGGTTAAAGGATTTAGTGTCCAGGATTCTGATAATAGCAGCATTATGGTGAGAATTAGTGATGTCCATAGTATGGTGGGAGAAGGAATCTTGGTGAAGGAGGAAGGGAGGTGTCTTCATCTGCTGAGACTAGTGTGGTGGCCACTGTTATTGTCTGGACTCATTATACCAGCTTAGTGGTTCGTTATGGTGACCACAAATGTTGATTTCTATATATAACGTGTGTGTGTATATAATGTAATAACAGCAAAAAGATTATGTTGGGAGGAGCCATTTTGGTGAGGGTGGTGGTGATATCTGCTGGCTGGTATTGTGACTTGTCATGCAGTGTATGGTGACCACTATGCTGTTTAGACATCATACCAGCTTAGTTGTACAGTTATGATGAACAAAACATGTAGATACTAATATATAACATGTGTATATAGTGTAAGCACAAAGACAAATCACAAACAGTAAGGTGGGAGGAGGAATGTTGGCGAGTGAGGTGTTGGTGTGGGAGGGAGGGAGGGAGGGAGGTGACATCAGCTGGCTAGTGGCCACTGTTATTGTTTGGACTCACCAAAATACGCCACCTATGATTCTTTTCACGTAAACAGGGAATACATTTTAACAATCTAAGAAGACAACAAAAATTTTATTTTTTTTCTTGCACACTGTAGTGTTATCAGCTATTATTAGCATCACTGCCCAAGAGTTAATATCTAAAAATATCTTTGCAGCTACTTCTGCCCCACAACAGGACCTTGGGCTACTGCCACAGGACGAATGCTGCATGAATGCTTGTGAATTGGAAGATTCTGGCCTACATCATTGCCAAAGTAAGTTGCACACTATTTTTTTCCCATGATCAGGGAACACAATTTAACAATATTAGAACAATTTTTTTTTTCCTTGAGAACCAGGAGAATGTCTGCTATAAACAGTGGTGAAATGCAGGGGTTAATATCTCTTGCACAAAAAAAAATCGATCACTTTAAATTTCTTGATACCTGGAATGAGACAATACTGATTTTCAATGTAGTTAATGATTATTGGTGTATATAGTCTATTGGCTGCCTTATTTTGCCTATATAGTATGTATTAGATTATGATAAAAGAAACTGCAATATTGCCGTACCTAACAAAAATTCATCCTTTTTGGGAATTTTTATTAAAATGTGAAGGATTCTGTATTTTGTATTTGTTTACTTTTAGACCTGGTGATCTCTCAAACTTTTCTTTTGCAGCTGCCAAGGTCAGAAGAAGAATTACTCATATAGTGCCACCATCCAGTGGTATTAGAGCTGAATTGTGAGAAATGCTGCATACATGATCATGTCAGCAGTGTCATGAAGTACATTACAGTGCCGCATATGCTTCATATATATATCATATCATTAGCAGTGCCATAATTTTCATTTCCGTGTCAGAAAACTACATATACAGTATAAGGATAAAACTTTGCTTGAGTTCATTTCCACATATTAATTATTACATGCACAGCCTCAGCATTCTGTGGATGGATGTTTACTTGACTCCTTCAAATATTGTCGTGCGTTGCCTTATCACCAAGTATTAACACGTTCATCTGATGCACTGTTCATGTATTATCAGCATCTCGTGCACTGTGTCACCATGGTAACATGCATCTGAAGCACTGTTCATGTATTATCAGCATCTCATGTACTGTGTCCCTACAGTAACAAGCATCTGAAGCATTGTTCATGTATTAAAAGCATCTCATGCACTGTGTCACAACGGTAACAAAGGAAATGTGTATTTAAATACAAATTTAGTGTATCATTGTCAATTCATTGTGTTGGGGTACAGGCAACCAGTGTATATATAATTCATAATATAATAATTCATTGGGACAGGAAGCCAGCGTTTATTCATACACTTTTTGTCTTTTATCTTTTTTATTTATTTTATAAAAAATTGTATATGCATACATGTATCTACAAAAAATTGTATATACTGTATAGTGTATACGGATTCAAGTAATTTAATGTTGAAGTTCATAGGGCTATCCAAGTAAAATAATATATGTAATAAGACATACCACAGTACTATAGTTATAATTATAATTAGCCATCCCTCAGTGCTGTAGGTATATTTATAATTAGCCATCCCACAGTGGATATATTTATAAGAAGACATCCCACAGTACTGTGGAAATATTTAATCAGACATCCCACAGTACTGTGAAAATATTTATAATCAGATATCCCACAGTGCTGTGGAGATATTTATAAGAAGACATCACACAGTGCTGTGGTTATATTTATAATCAGGCATCCCACAGTGCTGCAGTTATTTGTATAATAAGACAGACAGACAATATGTTGTATTATATTGCTGTATAATACAACATACTTTAGTGCTTTAAAAATATATCAATTTTTTCTTTAGAAGTGATTCAAAGGCATATGATACAATCTTGAAAAATTCAAATTAAAAATCTTGCCACAGGATTTGTTTTGACTTGTTTACAAAGTCATGCACAGGCACCAATTTTTATGTTGTTGGCTGCATGTTGAAGAGTGCATTTATATGTAACTCATTGGATATATTTTATATATATACATATTTTATTATATGAATTCAATGTTTTCATACTGTTCAGGAACCAGTAAGACCAGTTGTTTATATATTGTCGATTTTGCAGTAACTTTTACATCTTAATAAGATATTTATTTGCTTTATATTAATACCAAAGAGATTGGTTAATTTTCAGTAATTTGACCTTCAGTGCCATCTGTTGACAACAGAGGTAAGACTTCATAACCTGACTGCTCTATGCTGGCTGCAAGGTAGTAACTTGTATTAATTACATATCCCACAATCCAAATGTTTACCATCTCTAACAACATTTGCTTTAGTAAAATTAAAAAACTTGTGCAGATTAAAATTCCATATCACAAATATATGTTATTAAGACTGTTCTCAAATATTTATTAAGCAAACAATAATATATTCAGCAAAATATAAGAAAAATCTGTGTCTACTGGAATTTACAAATACAATGTAGGACATTTCATTAGAAAAAAAAATTGGGGAAGAGTTCAAATAAGTTTTCAGATTTATACTATCAAACAAAATTTGAAAAAAGAAAAACTTTATCAGCAAGGAATGTTCAAAAAACTATAGAAAAAATCTTAAAAAGGTATCGTGCAAAGGAAGCATTCAAAGATTTGAAGAGCACAAAACCAGTATTAAAAATTCATTATCCAAAAGCTACTTTTAGAATATCAAGACAAATATGAGTGCTCATTTAGAAGAGAAACCATATAACTGTTCAGTGTGTCTAAAAGACTTTTCAAATAAATCACATCTAGTAAAGCACATGAAGGTTCATTCAGGAGAAAAGCCATATCACTGTTCAGTATGTTTAAAAGACTTTTCAGACAAATCAAGCCTAGTAAGGCACATGAGGATTCATACAGGAGAGAAACCATATCACTGTTCAGTGTGTCTAAAAGACTTTTCAAATAAATCACATCTAGTAAAGCACATGAAGGTTCATTCAGGAGAAAAGCCATATCACTGTTCAGTATGTTTAAAAGACTTTTCAGACAAATCAAGCCTAGTAAGGCACATGAGGATTCATACAGGAGAGAAACCATATCACTGTTCAGTGTGTCTAAAAGACTTTTCAAATAAATCACATCTAGTAAAGCACATGAGGGTTCATACGGGAGAAAAGCCATATCACTGTTCAGTGTGTCTAAAAGACTTTTCAGACAAATCAAATCTAGTAAAACACATGAGGATTCATACAGGAGAGAAACCATATCACTGTTCAGTGTGTCTAAAAGACTTCATACATAAATCAGATCTACTAAAGCACATGAGGGTTCATTCAGGAGAAAAGCCATATCACTGTTCAGTTTGTCTAAAAGACTTTTCAAATAAATCATATCTAGTAAAGCACATGAAGGTTCATTCAGGAGAAAAGCCATATCACTGTTCAGTATGTCCAAAAGACTTCATACATAAATCAGATCTAGTAAAGCACATGAGGGTTCATTCAGGAGAAAAGCCATATCACTGTTCAGTATGTCTAAAAGACTTTTCACATAAATCAACTATAGTAAGGCACATGAGGGTGCATACAGGAGAGAAACCATATCACTGTTTAGTGTGTCTAAAAGACTTTTCAGACAAATCAAATCTATTACATCACATTAGGATGCATACAGGAGAGAAACCCCATCAGTGTTCAGTGTGTCTAAAAGACTTCATATATAAATCAGATCTAGTAAAGCACATGAGAATTCATACAGGAGAGAAACCATATCACTGTTCAGTGTGTCTAAAAGACTTTTCAAACGATTCATATCTAAAAAAGCACAAGAGGAGGATTCACACAACATAAGAACAATGTTAGTGTTCCATTTCTAAAAGATTTTTCATGTATGTTTAGTCTATTAAGACACATGAAACCTCATGTAGGATGACAATGACATTTTCTTGTAGGGACAATATGAATTTGGGACCCCATAACAGATCTATTATTGTTTTAAAGATTTTACATGAACTTTATCTAGTATCCCTACTCTCCCAGCTGCTAAACCACGGTGACTTGGCTTTACATGCCAAGGAAGACTAAATACTGATGTAATATACACATTTGCAAAAGCTTTTGACAAATGTCTCCTCCGTCGTGTTGCCTTGTCGTGGTAACCCCCTCACTGTCTGGCCCGTTGCCGCTGTGAGGGGGCTTGGTGGCCAGCTGCCGGAGTGTGATGCTCCATGGGTCAGTCCTCTGTCCTTTTGCAGCCTTATGCTCCTGCTGCTGCCTTTACCAATTTTGAGAGACCCCCTTTTCCTTTTCCTCGTGTTTCATTTTTCTCCCCCCTCTTCTCCTATCAAATTGTCATTTCCTGCCGACCTTTTGCCTGTTTTGATTATTCTTTCGACCTTCTTTTGTTTTGACGCCCAGGTGTTTGAGGAGGTATACTCTTGCACCCGTAGAACTGTTGTACCCAACGTCTCGAGCGAGGGGACTCTTTTATTGTCAATCCTCCTCTCGTCACTGAACCAGCTCTCGACGGACTCACAGTTCTTAAGGTTGCGTTTGTGGGGCGTATACTCATGACGCAGCCCTGGGGGGGGGGGCCGGCAAGATCGGCGATAGCTTCTTGTTGGGTGTCCTGCCTCATATTGTGGCTCCATGGTGGGTGTGGGGGCACATTCGTGAATGAAAGTTTTCCCTCGTTTTCATGGCTGATAATGTTTCCCTTGTACTTTCTCAAGCTCGTGGGGTGGGCAACCAAGCCCCCGAGTCGGACTGTGTTGGAAGACCAGGCCCTGTAGCCCCTGCTGCATTGGGCCCCGACGACCTGAAATACTTCCTTCAGCTCCCCTCCCTCCTCTGTGGTAGGGTCGAGTCCCCAGCCCCCAGTGGTGACCACCTCGTCCCCTGGCACAGCTACGTCTCTCATTGTGACTACTGCGCCTTTTACCCCCTCTCTCTCTCTCTGGGGGTTCTCACCGCCGTTCCTGCCAAGGCCGCACTCGCACGATCTCTTCCCGTAATACTACTTACAACGCCTTGTTTGGTCCCGCTACATGGCTAAATACTTTGATCTCCACCATCTGGATTGTACTCCTCCTGACGATTTCTCCCTCCATAAACACCTTGTTGATTCAGTAGATGCCTCTGTTACTTTTAACTCCACCAGTTACAGTACGGGTGTCGTCGCTGCTCCTTCTCAGGATGCAGCTACTCGCTTAGCCGCTTTGTCCTGCATTGGAGAGACCCCTGTTTGGGGTCTCCAAAAATGCTCGGTTAAATGCCAGTGTTGGCACTGTTCTCCTCCCACACCATGTTGCAACTGGTGTTTGGGACCTCAAAGATTGCCATAAGGATATTAAACATATCCTCGAAGCCCAAGGCCATTCTGTCCTCCAGGTGGACACATTTACTCGACCCCCTCGTGGTCGTCGCCGTCAGCCGCTTCGAGTTGTAAAAATCACCTTTGATAGTAGGACCCTTCCGCCCTCTATTATTCTTGCTGGTGCCAGATGCTCCATTCAGGAGTACATTCCCTCTCCTAGACTTTGCAATAAGTGTTGGAAGTTCGGGCATGGTGTCCTCAAATGCACCAGTACTGTGTATCTATGCCCCATATGTGGAAACGATAGTCACTCTAAGTCCGAGTGCACTTCTCCCCAGGCTTGCTGCCTCAATTGCGGTGAGGCCCACCCTACTTTCTCACACTCGTGAATACACTACAAACTCGAGGAAGCCGTCCTCAACTTGAAGCACCGTGATCATCTGTCTTTTCCTGAAGCGAGACGCCAAGTTTGTCGTCTCACCCCTTATGCGGGCGTATCCTACGCTCGCGTGTTGCGTTCTACCTCTCCTCGTCCTTCCCACCTTCCTCAGTCTCACAACCGTTTCCAGGCCTTAAACCCGACCACACCCACCACTTCCTCCCCTATTCCTTTGCCTCCTGTCCCAGATGGTCTCCTTCTTGGTTCTCCATCTGGGGTTTCCCCCCTTCCTACCCAGGCCACCATATCTCCTTTGTCTTCTTCCCCATCTCCCCCACTCTTTCTTCCCGACCCTCCCCCCAGTCTCTTGACCCTCCACACTGCCTGTCTGTCCAGGCTGATATCCATCATTCTCCCAGCAATCTTCGGGTTATTCGCTCCCGCTCCTCTTCTCCTGCTGAGACCATTGAGTCTGTCGCCCGGTACGTTGTTACTGGCACGCCTGTCTCTTCGAGTCAGAAACATAAGCCTGGCTCCTCTCCTTCTTCCTCTCCAGCAGGTAAGAAGGATTGACTGTCTTCCTCACTCCCTCCCTCTGACTCTTGTCACTACATCCCCTCCCATTTCAGTGGTCGAACCCCCTGTCCCAGATATGGAGATTTCTTTCGGCCCCGACTTCCTCTCGGTTGCTGCCCTTGCTGAGGCACACTCCCTGCCTTCTGCCCCCCCCCCCCCCCCCCTCCTCCAGCTGTCCTTGCCTGTCCCTCTCCGTTGCCTCCTCCCCCTCCGGACCCCGTCAGTCCACCTCTGGTCTGTCCTCTTGCTCCCTTCCCTCTATCCTTCCTTACTAAGTTTACCCATGCCCCCTAACCCTGATTTTGCCATCCCTGCTCCTGATCCTGGCCCCTGATCCTGACCCCTGATCCTGAGATTCTTTAATAAACTGTGTTCTTCTATACCTTTATTTCTTTCTTGTTCTCTGTTACTGTCCTTTCTCTTTGGTAATGTCTATTCTTCAGTGGAATATTCGTGGATTTTATGCCAACTTCCATGAGCTTCAACTTCTAATTACACAGTTTTCACCGCTTTGTGTTTGTCTCTAGGAACCCATGCTTGGTGCTTGTCCTGGTCACTTTCGTGGTTATTCCTTTCTTTCTCACCCCCCCCCCCCTCTCCCAGCTCTTGCTGGGGCCCGTAACTCTACTGCTCTCTTAATTCGATCTGATATTCCCTTCGTCCCCCTACTTCTTCCGTCACCTATCCATTGTTCTGCTGCCCCTGTTTTTGTGGGTAAATGGTATACAGTCTGTTCCATTTATCTCCCCCCAAATGTCCCGCTTTCCCTTCCTGATCTTAAGCACCTCCTGGACTCCTTGCCAAAGCCGGTGCTCCTTTTGGGTGATTTCAACTGTCAACATACCCTCTGGGGTGATATTCTGACAATCACCCGAGGCCGTCTTCTCGAACCGTTCGTCCTCGCTTCTTCTCTATCTCTTCTGAATTCTGGTGAGCCCACTCATGTGGACTCTCGAACTCGCACCCTTTCCTGTCTTGATCTTTCTCTCTGCTCGTCGTCCCTCTACTTAGATTTCAAAAGGCAGGTTCTTGATGACCTCCACAACAGTGATCATTTCGCAATCCTCGTTTCCTTTTTCTCTTTCCACCCTCCCCTTTCCTTCCCTAGGTGGCAGTTTGCCAAGGCTGACTGGTGCCTATTCACCCTCCGTGCTACTCGCTCTGACCTCTCCTCTCTGCCTCTTCCTCGCGCCCTCCTTCTTTTTTATGACAGTTTTCAACGCTGCCCTCCACTCTATTCCTCGCTCTTCCTCCCGGGGCACACGGAAGTGTGTTCCCTGGTGGAATGCGGACTGTGCTCAGGCTGTCCGCTGTAAGCGTGCAGCCTGGAAGAAACACCACTGCCGGCAGACGGCTGATTCTTTTATTCTGTTTCGGAAGGCAAGTGCGGTGGCCCGTAGGACCATCCGTACAGCTAAACGTGAGATTTAGAAATCTTATGTTTCCACCATTATGTCCGATACTCCTTTGCCGCAGATCTGGAAGAAGATCCACAAGATTACAGGCAAGTTCATTCCGGATGTCTCGCCGGTTCACCACCTCCGTGGTACTCTTGTGGCGGATCCAGTGCAGGTCGCGACCGAACTGGGTTCCCACTTTTCTTCTGTTAGCTCTGGCTCTCATCTTCCTCAATCCTTCCTTCTTCGTAAGCCTGTTCTTGAATCTTATCCTTTAGATTTCCGCACTTATCTCAGCCTTCCCTATAACGATCCTTTCTCTCTTTCTCAACTTCAGTCTGCCCTGGCCCTCTGCGGATCTACGGCGGCGGACACGGATAATGTTCATTATGAGATGCTTCGCTACCTCCCTCTGTGCACGTCTCAGTATTAACTGAGTCTGTATAACCAGGTCTGGGAGTCGTCGTCCGTCCCTGAGAACTGGCTCGATGCCATTCTACTCCCTATTCGGAAACCAGGGTCTCTCAGTATGTCCTCTAAGGACTTCCACCCTATTGCTCTCACGAGTTGTGTTTGCAAGCTCTTTGAGCGTATGGTAAATGTCCGTCTGATGTGGTTCTTGGAACACCATCACCACCTCTCTCCTTCTCAATTTGGTTTTCGCAAGTGCCGCAGCACGACTGATGTCCTGGTGAACTTGGAGGTCTATATTCGTACTGCTTTTGTTGCGAAGACCTCCGTTGTTGCTGTCCTTTTTGACCTGGAAAAGGCTTATGACACAACTTGGAGATACCATATTCTGCCCCAACTTCGTTCTTTTGGGCTTCGTGGTAATCTCCCTCTCTTCCTTGAAAGCTTTCTCTCTCGTCGTATCTTTTGAGTCAGGCTTGGTGCCACTCTCTCTGCGTCTTTTCGGCAGTATGAAGGTGTGCCCCAAGGTAGTGTTCTGAGTACTACTCTTTTTCTGGTTGCCCTCAATGGTCTTCTTTCCTCCCTTCCTTCTGGCATCTTCTCTGCTCTTTATGTTGACGATCCTACTCTTTGCTGTCAAGGTGATGATTCGCCTCTCCTTCAACGGCGGCTTCAACTTGCGATTGATGCCGTGTCATCTTGGGCCACCAATCATGGCTTCAAGTTCTTTACTACTAAGACTTGTGCCATGACTTTTACTCGGAAGCGGGTCGTTCTTCGTCCCTCTTTGTCACTTTTTGGTCATGCCCTTGAGTACAAAGATTCCGCAAGGCTTTTGGGGTTATTTTTTGACACTCGTTTGTCTTGGTCGCCCCATGTCTCTTACCTCCGTGTTGAATGCTCTAAGGCCCTTAACCTACTTAAGGTTTTATCCCATACTTCTTGGGGAGCAGATAGGCGCCGCTCCTCTATTTGCATTCCTGTCTCGTCCTGTCTAAACTCGATTATGGTTGCCCTGCATACTCTTCTGCTTCTCCTTCTACTCTTCGCCGTCTTGATCCTTTGCACCATACTGGGTTGCGCCTCAGCTCTGGTGCTTTTCGTTCAACTTCTACCCTCAGTTTGTACGCTGACACTGGCTTTGTCTCTCCAGGATTGCCGTGATCGCTACAGTCTTCGCTAT